TCCCTTTTTTTCCCCTCCAAAGTTCTCCACCAGCACTTGGCTTTTGCTACTAGTGTTAAGATGTCCCTATGCTGATGGCCAACAATGAATAAGCAGGCTATTGTGACAGAATATTAACACGTCATACCAAAGGCTAAACTCACTTGCTAGCATATTTTAACACATGGTTTTCTCATAATAAGCAGACAATAGTGATAAGAAAACCAATGGATGAAACAAAACGCACCAGAGTTATTATGGAAAAACAATACAAAAGCTCCAATTCTTTTCATAATTTTAACACAACTTGCTATTTGTTGACAACTCATGCGTTAGTACAACAAACCTGATGATCTTACGGTTTCAGAAGGTTTGTACCCTCCAAAAAAAAGAACAGGAAGGGAAAAAAAACCTCAGAAGCAGCTTCAGAAAACAGAAGTCAGAAATAGCCACGCAGATAAGAGTTTTAAGGTCCAAGATGAAACACACCAACTATATAAAGATACTCGGAGTAAGCAGAAGTACTTCAATGACTTAACACCACATTAGCTAGAAAATAAGTTTTCCTACCTGTTTGGTAATAACAAAAATAAAGATTACAGCGGACAATGAGAAATGGGAAAGGAACAGTGCCTGTATTGGCTATACACATTGGCATCATGTTTTCTCTAGCTCTCGGAGGAATAAAAGCTCAATTTGCTCTTTTGTAACTAAATACAGATGGGAATTAACAGATACCCTTAAAGAACGTAACCAGCTACCACACAGTGATGAAAGCACTTTCTGCAGACCATTCTGATTTCTTGCAAATTCACTATAAACTGACAGTTTATAGTCACTACATCTAAAGATTCTTGCTTTGTCAGTTCTAGTCTGCACACATTGCTCATGACAACGTAACTGCTGTGGACATGCTAACTTCCAAACTGCAACAGAAGAGTAGGAATCACAAAAAGGCATTTTTACACATACCTATAACAACGTGAACTCTGCTTGATAACAACTAAAAATAGTGTGCTCCATTGATAAACTAAAACCAGAATGCATGATTTCCCAAGTTCTGTGCAGTTATTTCGTGTCTAGAAACTAAGAATGAAGAAAAGCATGCAGGTGAAATCACACTGAGGCAAACACTGGAATAGTTCCTCTGCTCTGCCCTTCCAGCCTTAAGATATCAACAAGGCCCTCCGTTTTGTACGTATGAGCAGACAAATTATTCTTTTAAGCACATATATCCAAAGACTTGATTCTAGAAATCATGGCAGATGCCCTTAAACTGTTATTTAAAACACAGACTTCTGAGATGGCTTTTACCAAGACATGAATTTTTCATAATCTGTCACGCAGCGCAAGCTAAGCAGCTCAGCCTACTCTCTGAACCATAAGTGCTGTTTTGTGTTAGCCCCAATAGAGGACGGAAACTGCAGAAGAAGCTGAGCAAGTATTTTGGCACCATCAGCACAGGTGAACGAGTGTAAAAATCTGTTGAAGCAGTGTGAAAAACATCCAGCCAACATGACTGCTTTTCTCATGAAGCATCTTGCAGATGTGGCACTGAGGAACACAGTTAGCGGGCATGGCGGTGACAGGTCAATGGCTGGACTAGGCAAACTTCATGGTCTTTTCCAACCTTAATGATTAGAATCATAGAATCACTAAGGTTGGAAAAGACCTAAAAGATCACCCAGTTCAACTGTTCACCTATTCCCAATAGCTCCTACTAAACCATGTCCCTCAACACAACATCCAGTCTTTCCTTGAACACCCCCAGGGTCGGGGTATATTTTCACTATTAGCATTAGAGATGCACATATATGCATCAGTCACTCAAAATCAGTTTCAATAAAAATTACTGCTTCATCTCAAGCAGTTTTCTTAACATTCAGATTAAAAATTAGAACATCTCAGCTAACTTACTGCAATATGCTAAGCTGGGATATAAATAAGGTACTCAAATACATTTAAACATTACTAGGCTTCTACACAGCTCAGGCCACGCACAGGCATGCATCAGTCATCAATTCTGACCCACCACCACAAAGCACTTTTATGAAAATCATCCTTGAAAACGAAGAGGAAGAACTTCCTCAACTGACTGTTCTGCAGGGTTAACTTAGCATCGTATCTGTCAGCGCCAAAGTCCCAAAACTCCTGCACTGTGCCAGCAGATCACGTAAGAAGTTGCTCTGAAGAGCCATAAGCAAAGCTGTTGGCAAAGCCCATCAGTTACTATTAGCATGCCACCTAAGCAGAGACTTGTACCAAATTCCCCGCTTATCTTAACATACCATTTCCCCAAACCAAGTAAACTCCTTATGGGTTGCACTTCACATTTTTTACATCATAAAGTGGAATTTCAAAACTGCCTTTTTTTAAAATACACATTGGACATTTTTTAAAAACAAAACCACATATTTCCCATAATATTACCTCTTCTGAATATACACGATCATCCAGAAATCAGTAGTCTCTGCATAAACACCTTATGTAGCTCTGCACCTCTCTCTAGCCCTTTTGACCTTACGGTACAGCTTTTGCAATGAACAATTTCAGTGGCTTCTATTCATTTTTAACTGAGACTCAAGTGTAATGCTTTCACATAACACAGTTTTTCTATTATTTCTATTATTCTATTATGGCTGTTTAGATCTCAGCTTAAAGAGAAGACTTTCAGTGTGGAACAGCATGTATCAGCACTCAGTGTTACATATCATGATGCCTGCACATAGGAGGAACAGGTCCAGCCTTCCTGCTCTCTTGGTACAGAGGTGACAGTGACATTTCTAAAGACTGGAGATTCTTACCTAAGTCAATTTCTACATAACCTTTTTGGTACTGCAAGACTTGTTTTTCAAAGGAGTACATTTCAGAAAGAATCAGGTCTCAAAATGGACTTTTGTTAGCAGCCAATAAGCCAATAACTGTATGAGTTTTTGCTCTGTGCTAAAACCAACTGAATCTCATGAAGCTGTTCACTAAATACATGCGATCATAATTTGATAAATCAGCTTCTAACACTGGTAAATCTACTTGGTGCCAGAAAGGTGTCTGCATTCCCACTTGGCCAACCACGTCCGCCCACAAACAGCTCATTCAGCTGTCAGCCCAGGCCAGAGCCAGGTTTCCACCTCACCACTACAAATCCAAGCAAGCCGCCACAAAGATTGGACAGGCTGAGAACACAGCAATGCGAGCCAACATAAACCACTCTTGTTTCTGTGCATCCACACAGACGTTCTACTGAAGAACAGCATGACAAATTTCGATGAAAGAGAATCTAAAATACAAGACTTGTGTGAATGAAATCAAACACGAGAAGGGAACGTGCACAAAGTGCTTGACAGTGGATCTCCCTGGTTACCAAAGAGTGGTGCTCAGCTAGAGCCAAAGTGACAGACATGCAAATGGGCACCCCATAATGGCTTCCACCAGGAATAAACTCCTTCAGAGAAGACACGAAGCTACACAAGCCACATGACACAAGATCAAAAACCATCTCTGAATCCACGATCACCCATTCCACCTTTTACAAACTTGTCCATTCTCCATGAATGGCTGACAGCAACATGTAAACAGACATTAGTGCTGTTATCAGATGCACCTCTTGTTAAAACCAAGACCAAAGCCACGGGAGGCGTTTGAGAGAAATTCAGCACCTCGAGGGTTGTTTCACACACTGTTCCGTGCCCAATGTCAGCCGAAAAAGGACACGTAGGAGAAAGGAGGGCAACATGCAGACACGCACACAGCTAAGATGGAGCAGCGCGCCTTACAGCCAGCCCACACCGAAGTTTGTCGGGCAAGGGATGCTGCGGGGTCAGCAGTTCAGCAGCAGCACCTGCGGCACTTCCATACAGCGGTGCTCCACGCATCCCTCCTCGTCCTCCTCGTGAGGGCAAGGAGTGACAGGGAGGGCGGCACCGTCGACCTTCAGACCTCCCACCGTCACCGGAGCCCTAAGTTTAGTCCCCCACCGCTTTCTCTCATCCCGGATACCAACGACTCCAAATCGCCGCGGGCTAAGAGGGCACGGAGCGGCCGAGGGCCCCGAGCGCCCGGGCCGCGCTCCCGCTTCCCCCCCCAGCGGAGGAGCCGGGCCGCCGAGCCGCCGCCCCCCTGGGAGGAGGGGTGCGGGAGAGCAGGGGACGTGGGGGGGCGAGAGGGGGAGGGGGGGTCCGTCCGCCGCCGCCGCCGGGAACAAAGGGCCCTGGGCTGAGCCGAGCCGTAGAGCACAACAAAGGGGCCCGGAGACCGCGAGACGCGGGGCGGCCGCCGGGGAGGAGAGAAGGCGGGGGCAGGGGAGCGCGGGCCGGCCGAGCGGCTCCGGGCGCAGGGGGCGGGCCGGCCGTCCTCAGCGTCAAGCGGGAGCCCGGCCCGCAGCGCGAGGGGCCGCCCGGCCCAACTGCCCGCGGCCGACCGCCGCCCCGGGCCAACGGCCGCCCGCTCCTCCGGAGAGAGCGCCGCTGCCGCCGGGCAGAGCCCCGAGCTGCGCCCCGGCATCGGCAGCCTCCCGCAGCCCGCTCGGAGCGGAGGAAAGGAGGGGAGAGGAGAGAAGGGCGGCCTGACCTGGCAGAGCTGCTTGCAGTACTCGGTGGCCGCTTGCACGGCGGGCTCGGCGCTCTCCCGCAGCCCCGTCTCAAGCTCCAGCAGGCGCTCCCGCAGGCGCCGCAGCTCCAGCAGGTCGCCGCCGAGGCCGCCGCTCTCCTGCTCGGCCTCCTCGTCCGCCATCTTCGCACCCCGCTCCGTCGCGTACGCAGCCCCCCCTCTCGCCGCCTCGGCCTCCCGCCCCCCTCCTCGCTCGGCTACGCGTCACGTGATTACACAATGCCACGTTCCGGGGAGGGGTCACGTGCCGGAGAGGACGGGCGGGGAGGAGCGCGCGCGCACTACCCATCCCCCCGCGGCGCGGGGTTCGGCCGGGGAGGGGCGAGAGCGGGCAGGGAGCGCGCGCGCCTCCGAGCGTCACGTGGCGCCACGCCACGCCCCCTCCAACGGCCGCGCGGCCACGTGACGGCGCTCCCCGCCCTTCCTCCGACCAGTTTTGGCGGTAAATGGCGCTGGTGGAGGCCTCGCGGCTTCCCTCGAGCCTCGCGGGCAGCGATGGTAGGCGGGCGGCCTGGTGGCCTGGGTGTGTGAGGGCTCCTTCCGCCTGGTCAGCTGCTAGTACCGCCTGGCTTTAAGTGCGGTCCTTCGTTTCTTGTGCACCACTTTGAGTGCTCTTAACAGAGCGGGAAGTTGCAGGGGCTGACCTCCTTAGGGTGATCCCTTCTCCTCCTGAAGTTAGCAGAGGGAAAATTACATAGGTTTGCATGTATCCCTCACCGCCAAACTGCGTGTTACATACCCAGTACTAATAAGCGATGCAAATACCAGGAACAACTGCACAAAAGCTTACTCATTCTTTATGAATACCTTATTCATATGAGTGAGGATAGTGTGTCCTCCGGATAACTCTTCCAGTTCTACTTTGCGTTATTCACAGTTTAATTTTAATTAGGTTCACTTACAGGTAAGCCACAACAGCCAAATGTGTATTCATGGGTGCAGTTGTTTTTGTTTGCTGCCTCACTTCCTCCTTTCCCAGAGGGTTTTCAGTGTTGAGCCTAGGCCAGGAAGGAGAAACCGGCAATATGAGGTTCTTAAACAAAAGATTAGCATGTAGAGGTGGTAGAGTAAGGACTGTTTGTTTTGTTCTCATCAGGATCAAGTGGAAAGAAGCCTGTCCTTCAGCTGTCCTACTCCAAACAGGACTTGCACAAAGGCCTCCAGAGCGTTCCTGTCTTTAATCACCCACAGCTCAGAGGCGGTTAATTGCTAGACTTCCACTGTGGAGACCAAAGATGGAGTTAGTAAGTAGAAGGAAAGACCACAAGCGGCCTTTTATTCCTGCTTGACAACAATGAAAATATGATGACTGCTACTGCGGAAGTGTAGCGATGTCCTAGAAAGAGGTATTTCAATACTGGGTAAAGAGCTGTAATGCTCATCCTGTTGTTGAATCCTAACAGAAGATAGAACGGAATATATACAATCATAGAATGGCCTGGGTTGAAAAGGACCGCAACAATCTACAAGTTTCATCCCCCCTGCTATGTGCAGGGTCACCAGCCACCAAATCAGGCTGCCCAGAGCCACATTCAGCCTGGCTTTGAATGCCTCCAGGGATGGGGCATCCACAACCTCCTTGGGCAACCTGTTCCAGTGTGTCACCACCCTGTGTGTGAAAAACTTCTTCCTAATATCTAACCTAAACTTCCCCTGCCTCAGGTTAAAACCATTCCCCCTTGTCCTATCACTCTCTGCCCTCGTAAAACCTATGGAAAGGAAGTACAGATGCCTGAAGATGACAGGAGCAAAAGAGATACTACAGAGAAGGTAGGCTTTACAGATACCTGTCTTCTTCACAAATCTGTGGGTTAAACAATGAGACTGTGAAAAAAATGTGAATATAAAGCTTAGGAGACTGAGAAGGGGAAATATACAATTAAGCATTTGTTGTGCTGGAATATAAGCAGAAGAGTCAGAAGTGTCTGGAGGGAGAAAGGGCAATGAATCCATGGAGGAGAAGAGTCCAAGGAAGAAAAATGGGATAGAGACACTGAGAAACAACAGGAAAAAGGTGTAATACTAAGAATGGAAAGACCCGAGTTTTATACCAGCATGAAGATGAAATTTCTTGTTAAGAAGAATTGACAGGCTTATTACTGGAGGATGCCAGAAATAAAGATTTAAGATGAGGACTTATAATGGTAAAGATTCCTCATTGTCAAAAATTCATTTGGGATTCAGGTATGCTCTCATCCACTCTTGCCACTTGACTGACTCAGTACATACCCACAGTGTGGTGCTTTCCTAACTCCATGTTTCACTTCCCATGCCTCAGAAAAATCTGTCATTAAGAGAATGCATGTCTTACAGATCTTCAGGTACTTCGGTTGTATGTTTTGAGATGTTGATTGTGGCTGGAGACAAGGTTGTCTTATGAAAAATAACAATGAGAGTGCTTTGTAAATTGTATATAGCTGGCACCTAGGAGGAGGACTATCAAGTCTTCCAGGGAGAATGTCCTGTTAGCGACATAGGAACAGCTACAATGTTTATATATCTCTGGAACCCAAGCAACAAAACTGGAGTTACTAATTCTTAAAGGATACCAGGAGATACGGCAGAGTAGAATTTAGGACAGGAACGCAAATAAAAGACACTTAAAACTTTTACCTGTATAACACTTTTAAAGTGTTATACAGGTAAAATCAATTGATTGAGGATTAAAATTTGCAATGTGATAGATATTTAAGAAAGAAATAAACCTGATAGAAAAGTTAAAGAAGAACTTGTTTGAGTCAATATTGGAGAAAGATGACAAAGAGTTTCTATTAGGCAAATGTGTGTGCTAGAGACGTTTTATTTTAAGTCTGGAGAGAAATACTTTTCATAAGATTATTAGGAAAATTATTCACTTAGAGCAGAGCCAGGTTAGTAACAGACTTTTAATTAAAAAGGTCAAATGATGAAATTAAGGGAATGAGTTAGTGGTGACAGTGTCATTTAGGTGGTTGTGGACTTGCATGTGGGGAAGGCTTGGCATCGGTAAAGTGTCTGCAAAAAATAGTATCTGAAATTCATATCTCAAAGTAGAGGGATGGTTGGTCACAGCTGTGTAAATAGCCTCTTCAGAAGGGTTATTGAGAACAATCAGAAGCTTGAAGGGAATGGAACAAAATGATTGCTTATAAAAGTATTAAGGAGGGTAAGAGTAAAGTGAGAATTGTCAGAAGCCCAGCTGAGTTTCCTTACAAAGGAAATTAAAGCAGAGGCTAATGAGAAAGAAGATATGAAAATGAATGTTTCCACATTGGAGATGAAAGCAAAAAACCTATCGCATACCCATCTGAGACATCAGAAGATATTTATTCAGCCAGAAATTTCCATTAATGATGTAGGTACAAAAATATGAGCTGTAATAATGAAATTTGCTGATGACACAAAATAGCGAGACACTTTCAATAAGAGAGGGATCGAGATTGGATGACCTTGAAATCCTGAATAATACAATGGGATTAATTTTCAAAATGTAAAGTACAGGGAGACTGATAGCAGGCAGTACTTTCTTCACAGGGGAAACGCATCAGTTGGAGGTGACAGTGAGTGGAAGGTGTTCATTGTATTAGTTGACATTGTCCAAGTCATATATGTGTGCTCTGTCTACCAAGAAAAAAAAGGAGGAAGCTTGTAAAATCACATGGCTTGACAGGTCAGATATTTCCGTTAGATACTGCAGGTAAAAATAAAACATCTAGCTCATCTGAAACAATTTGTGCTATCCTGGGCGCTATTGGTCAGAAAAGATTAGATTGCACTGCAGGAGGTACAGAGAAGGGCATGAGGGATTATAAGTAGGACGGAGAATCTCTTTATGAGAGGAGAATATAAATCGTTCTTTTAGCTCAGTGGAATAAAACATAAAAAGAAGTGTGATTTTAGTCTAGAAACACTAAAATGTCAGTACAAAAGCTTTTCAAGCTGAAGGATGATACTGGGTGAAGAAAACTGCCGAAAACATTGGAACAAACTTAACTATTGTCTTAGACAGTGCATACTGCTGTTTCCAGGGTGCCAAATTTGTTTGTCCACAGCACTATAAAAGAAACTTTGTGAGACAATCAAACAGCAGCTTTGTGCAAGGCAGCAGTAGAAAAGATCTGCTGATGAAAACTGAGTACAGATGAGACATGAATTCTGAAAGGAGGAGAAAATAAATCCCGTGTATTTATATCTTCCTTATTGATACTGGCTGCGGCCATTTTCACCCATGTTTGAAATCACCTGTGTAGGTTTATATAGCCATATTTTACAGTGATTGAAGCAGTCTAAATATTCCCCAACAGGAATAAGAAAACACGTGCAGAGCACGGTCTGTAGGTTGTCTCTACCATCAGCCGGATGAGGGAAAGGAAAATGTTTTTGCAGATTTCAGATTGCATGGAGAATCCATCTTTCCAGAGGAAGGGAATTACTGAAGAGGGAGGACAGCACAATTCAACACGCTTGCTCAGATCTTGGATTGAGCTGTTTTCTCAGAAAAGAGTATCTTAAGTTAGTTTTAAAGCTGTCTGAAAAGAAGGGGAGGGGTTGAATTCTCCTTTTAAGTATTTTAATAATAACTTTAATACTATTACCTGCAATTAATGGTGCTTTTCTAGCTTTCCATTGTCTTTTCTGTTTATCATTTTCCATTGTTCGCTGAATGATGTACACTGCCTGCATGTTCAATAGGTTCTTGCAGAGTTCTAGCTATAAACTGAATGAATTACTGAAAGAAATGCTGTCCTGGAGACTGACATGTTTTCCCATCGTTGTGCTATTTTCTTCATTCCCTTCCCCGTTTTGCAAGATAAGCATTTAAATTAGGATGGCTCCACAGAGACCTGTTTTTTCTTTCATTTTACATTTTGTATATATGAACTGGATCTTTTTTGTGAGCGCAGGAAAAAGAGCTTCACTGGGCACCAGGATAGGACATTTCTTGTGAAAACTTTGGGGGGAGGAAGAGGATGTTTAAAATAATGACCGTCAGTATTCCACTTAAGCTGAAGGATGCAGGTGTGAGACCAATTAAAAGAAATTGTATTTGCTTACATTCGTTTTGGTCTGCCTTTTGTATTCCCTTAATTTGCATTTTAGCTCCTTTATGATCAATTAAGTAGTGACACACACAGCTAGTAGTGGCACACAGCTCTTTGCTGTGATGAGGCAGATAAATGCTTTTCGAGAGTGCATTTTACAGTAACAGCTATTTTTAAAAAGAATGTCTTTGAATTTTATTTTTTTTCAGTGAATAAATAACTGGGCATCTTTGGTGTAATACAGATCCATGTGTCCATAGAAGGAAAAAAAAGGTGCATCCTGCAAAGGGCAGGCGTAGGAGAAGGCAGAGGGATGGATTTTAAACAAGGGTGGTGTAAGTGCCCTGTAATTCCTTACCCTTCTCTTGCTGATGATGAACTGCATGTACTGCCTGTTACAGCAATATTGATTGCAATCAGGTGATGAAGCCGTTGCACAGAGAAAGAAACCACTGCAGTGAAAATGAAAAGATGGAAATGTAATGAATTCTTGATTCAGAAATGATTTATTGGAATAAAATGAAAAAGTCGTTCTTAGAGCTGAGAGGTAGTCATGGGAATAACAGAAATGCTGAAAGAATATCACCATTTTAAAATAAAATCTATTTCAAGCTATATATTTATCTTCAACAGCATTCCCGCACTTTTTATCAACATTCCTTATACTGCAAATTTTCCTCTCTCGCAGCCTTAGCTTTACTTACAATTAATCCACTGGTATTATAGTGATGGAGATTCTTGCTGGAATGCATTAACTTCCTCCTTTAAATCCCCCCTGAGGCAAAGCACTTGAAAAATATTTCCTTTGTCTAGGACACACAGTTTAGTAGCTCTCTTCTTACAGTGAGATAGCGATTCTTTTGCAGTGATTTATGCATACTATTGAAATACAAAAACTGCATTAAGTTATGCTGCATTAAAAGATCTGAGACACGCATTCCATTACTTAGGCACAATTGCAAAAAAAATGTAGGTCTGATCCTGTTGCCGTTCAAGCCCATGCTTTCAAAAGCACTGGATTGAGATGTAATATTATTGGGAGCTGAGTAACTGCTCACCTACAAGGCCAAGAGAATTACCTTTCAAACTCACTGATGACTATGTGCGCACATGCACCTTTTTTGTTTTTATTAGACGAGCAAAGTTGCTGTGTGCTCTTTCAAGAGAATTGGAGTCGGGGCTCCCGGAGGGAAGATTCTGCAGGCTCTGAAATAGCCTGTTTT